AGATATAAATCATTTGTAAAAATGGAATACAAAAGTGGTCCTAAACAGCTCCCTTGTGGAACTCCACATTCAATTCCCTTCTATCCGAATAACTTCCGTAAAAAAACTTTCCTCTCTGTGATCTATTATCCAAATAACTTTCCATCCAAGCAATTACTGATGGTCTAAATCTATAACTCTCCAATTTTTCCAAAAGAAGCTTATGATCAATGAGGTCAAATGCAGCTGTAAAATCTAACAAGACTGCTCCACATATCCTTTTTTTATCCAACCCTCCATACCAATCATCTGTCATTTGTGCTAAATCGGTACATGTGGAGTGTCCTTTTCTAAAAGCATGCTGATAATTTGATATCAGATTATTATGTGATACATAATCTTGTATATGATCAAATGATCAAATAACAGTTCTTATCTCTCATAAAGTTCTTTATATTAAAAATTGTAGAAGTATTTTCTGTCACATATGATATTTCTTTCCTAAAATTCTGTATATTACTGCTAAAAAATCATTCAAATAATTAGCCATTTCTTCAGGTTTTGTCATATAAATACCTTCACAGTCAATTGAAGTAGGTTGTGGAGACTTCTGTCTTCCCATTATATTATTTAATACCTTCCAAAGCTTCTTCCCATCTTTCTTCTTACTACCTAACTGTAGTGTATAATACTGTTTATTTTTATTTTTATTACGACCTGGCATAATTTCTCAATTTACAATATTTCTGTCTATCTGTTAGACTACCAGTTTTTTTTTTTGCTGTTCTCATCGCCTCGTCTCTCTGAGCCATATAATCCTTTAATCTGCTATCAGTCCAGGATGCTCTACAATCCTTTATAATTACTTTCTTAACAGGCGCATGATTATCAATAACTGGCTGAAATTTTCTAATAAATAATTCAAGTGCAATCTTTTGGTTCTTCTACATCATAAATCTCTGACCACTTTATATTACCAATATCCCTCAAGAAAGCTTCCTGGGAAAACCTCCTATATGACCTTTTATACACAATTCTTTGCTTAGCTTTGGATATTTTGTTTTTCCTTGCAATCACAACTATATTGTGATCACTACAACCTACTTGGACTGATATTGCTGTCGTATAAAAATCTTCATTGCTCAAATAAATATGATCTATACAAGATGATGTGGACTTGCCCTTATTATTTATGCTTATTCTCGTTGGTTGTCTAACCATCTGTTTCAATCCACATGCATCTATTATATTTACCAATTGATTCTTTAAAAAGCACTCATGTACTAACCAATTAATATTAAGATCACCTAAAAAACAACTTCTATATTCAGTTCACATACCTTATTCAGCATCTCACCCATGTCTTCTAAATATTTATGATTTGAACCTGGTGGCCTATAACAACATCCTACTAAAATTGGCTTGACATGAGGTAAATTAACTTGCAGCCATAGAACCTCCACTTCATTACACATAATATCATCCCTTACTTTTACAGAAATATGATTCTGCACATAAAAGGCAACACCTCCACCGTACTTATTTCCATCCCTTCTATTTAAATTATATCCACTTATAGACACAGCATTGTCATCAAATGTCTCATCCAAATGAGTTTCAGATATAGCAACAATATTAATTGTATTTGATAGCAACAAATCAGCAACTTCATGTACTTTGTTCCTCAAACTACAAATATTCAAATGAGCAAACTTTACATATTTTTTGGGCAATAAAACGGCAATAGACACAATATACAGCACATCACATCACGTCGCACCTTGATCCTTGTCACATCCTCACATCTTCTCCTTTGCTTGCCGCTTATGAACAATGACTTTCTTACCTTAAGAAAAGCAATGTCCCCTCTTTCTCTTGCAGCTTTCATTTTAGGAATCAGTTCCTTTCTCCTCTTTCGAACCGATTCAGGATAGTCCTCGTTTATAAAAATATTCGAACCCTTCAGCTTTCTCGCGTTGGCCATCACTCGATCTCTGTCCTTGATTCTTAAAAACGACACCATTGTTGGGCGAGGCCGACTCCGGATTTCATCCTGTACTTTAAGAGCTTTTCCAACTCGTTGAACTTTCTGTATACCAATGTTGAGTGGATCCAAATCCAATTTATCCTTAAAAAGAGCCAGCACCTTCTCTGAAAATGAAATAATAAAATGCGACTTATACGCGACTTATGTTTTTTTTCTTTTCCCTAAAAAACACAATTTTTTTATGTGCGTAGCGTATTTTAACCATGCAGCAAACCTTTTTAAATATTTTGGTAAATTACTGAAAAAAAAAAAAACATAAATAAATGACTTTTTAAACCATTTAACTGATTGTATTAATCGGTCAAAATTATTACGGTCGGTTAGGTTTCATTTTTCCACCCAAGAACGAAAAACGAAAATTTAAGATGAATTCTCCTTTTTCGTGTTTTTGGGAAAAAAACAAAAAAACGAAAAAGGAGCCGTTTTCTCATTTTTCTACTTTCAATATTAAATCAAAAAACGAATGATCGAATGATACACGGATTCACCTCCCTTATTTCTATCCCTTCTATATAAATTATATCCACTTATAGACAAAGCATTATCATCAAATGTCACATCCAAATGAGTTTCAGATATAGCAAAAATATTAATTGTGTTTGACAGCAACAAATCGGCAACTTCATGTACTTTGTTCCTCAAACTACAAATATTCAAATTAGCAAACTTTACATACTTTTTTGGCAATAAAACGGCAATAGACATACAATATACAACATATCACATCACACCTTGATCCTTGTCAAATCCTCATGTTCTCCTTTACTTGCCGCTTATGAACAATGAGTTTATCGTACCTTAAGAAATCAATGTCCCCTTTCTCTTGCAGCTTTCATTTTAGCAATCAGTTCCTTTCTCCTCTTTCGAACCGATTCAGGATAGTCCTTGTTTATAAAAATATTCGAACCCTTCAGCTTTCTCGCGTTGGCCATCACTCGACCTCTGTCCTTGATTCTTAAAAACGACACCATTGTTGGGCGAGGCCGACTCCGGATTTCATCCTTTACTTTAAGAACTTTTCCAACTCGTTGAACGGTGTGTTTATATTCATGAGACAAACAAACAAATAAATAAGTGTGGCAACTAAATAGAGGAGATTAGGTTAGATGTATGCATTGATTGGTTCAAAGTTAATTTATGGTTCATGAATGAATGATCTAACATGACATTAAAACCAGTTGAAGTGTCAAAGTAAAAAAAATAGAAAGAAACATTTCAAATATATAAATGTTACTTGGAATGCTATAGAAGTTTTTTTTTTATTTACCTTGAAATATAAGTTTAAAAATCATTTTGATAATACACCGATTTTCCCATGCTGTTCTGGGAGTTTGTAAGCTTGGTGAGCGGGTACGAAAACAGGATTGCTTTACAACAGCAACAAATGCACACGCACAGCTATCGATGGAAGGTAATTGCGACTTTTTTATCTCACAATTCTGACTTTTCTTCTCAGAATTGCAAGTTCATGTCCAGCTATCCACTGTAATTTCGAGATTGGCATATTTACGACAGTGAATTACACTCACCTAAATGCAGGGGGCTCCAAAATAAAAATACGGAAAATTACATACAGTTGATACAGTACAGACCATAGAGATAGAAACCTGTCATATTTTGGATGCCTGTGATTGTGAAAATAAATGTTTAAAAGTCAAATAGGTAAAAACATTTTCAAATATTTAAACCTTATTTTTAAATGATAATGATATTATGAGGAATTATAAAAGCTAAAATAAACGTATTTATTTATTTATAAACTATTATTTAAGGGTTATGAAGTGTTGAAGTGGAGTGAATGCTGGGGCTTTGCTAGCACAGTTTGATGCTCGAGCATGACAGCAATTAGCTCTCAGCTGTGTGTTAATGACAGGCCCACTCATTATCAGCCTATTACAAGAGCACACTAAAAAACACTCAGCACTCATGACAATACCATCTCACACACTGCGCAGCTGAATGAGAACAGCATGAGCACAACCTGTCTGCTCATCTCTGCTGATTTGCACCAACAGATAATCAGATAATGAAACTGGTGAAATGGAGGAGAAATTAGGTATAAATGTGATTTAGCTTATAATGTTAAAAATGCTAGATCACTGATCTGAAAATGGGAAGTATTCAATTTCACTTCTATTAATCTGCTGGAATCACTATTTTATGCATATAAGAAGCAGTCAAGAACAAACAGTGCTTATAAGGTCTGTCAGATTTGAGCTTAATTTCTTGAGATTTAGATTTAGTTATATGTTGTGTTTAATATGTGAATTTGAATTCAGTAGACAATGATTGTTTGTCCTCCATTAAAATGAGGTCAGGTTTCTGATATCAAGGTCACAGCTATATTTGAGAGGGTACAAACTGCATAGTCTTTGCATAAAATGTGCAATTTGAAATTCTCAGAACAAAATAGGGAATCATTAAAGGAATAGTCCACAAAAAAGACATCACAAAGACATTAACTGATGGACTGGAGTGGTGTGGAATATTGTGATGTTTTTATCAGCTGTTTGGACTCTCATTCTGACGGCACCCATTCACTGCAGAGCATCCATTGGTGAGCAAGTTTCGTTTCTCCAAATCTGATGAAGAAAAAAAGCTCATCTATATCTTAAATGGCCTGAGAGTGAGTAAATTTTAAGCTAATTTTCATTTTTGGGTGGCAAAATGAAAATCAAATGGTCTGAGAGATCAGGTGCATCATGTTCAAACAATGATAACTGTCGACCTCAGAAGGTCAAACTACACATGAGCTGTTTTATTCTCCACTCATTTATTCATATGAGTTTTGCCATTTTTGAAACAAAAATTTGGGACACCGTCTAACTATAGTTTGTCTAAAACATCTTCATAGAAAGTGGCATGAAATATTAATCACACAGGAAAAAGTATAACGCACAGGAACTCCTTTGATTTTAAACAAATGTTCTGTCCAATAAAGTACTCATGAAATAAGAAAAAACATATATGATATAATATATTAGCGATTTTTAATACAATAATTTTACATTGACAGTTTTACAATTAGTTGCTGCTGCTTTAGACCAGTGATTTAGACAATGCTCCTGTGGTTTATACCATTCTTGAAACTAGAGCATTTGCAAAAACAGGAAACAGCGTTTGCTGTTAAACAGGTAACAAAAAACTAGGAGAGGAAACTACATAAGTGGTTTTAAACATTCAAAAATACATTTCTGCATGTGGTAAACTACTGTAGCACGACTAACTTAACTCCATCTCAAACAGGCCAGAACACCAGATGTTTTGTTAATGTGCCTTCATTTGCTTGATGGCTTATTTTTAAGTCTCTAATAACAGTCTTGACTGTTTAAATGCTTAATTGCATGCTGCTTGTAGAGCCCTGCCATTACAACGACAAGGGGGAAAAATCTGTTATTGTTGAGACTACAGAAATGTTAAACGGTCTTCGCGTTTAAAAAAGAGACTGTCTTTGGATGAATAGTGGGAGGCCACAGCTGAGGCCAGAGCTGTAATTATGGTATATGATAAGGTCACTCTTTGAGACCAATAATGATCGCATGTGGTCTGTTTGAGGCTTCGATTTAGAAAAATTACAGCTAATGTTAGTAATGTGGTTTATTTACTCTTTAAAAAATGATCATAAGACAAACAGAACAAGCAATGTGAAAAAGTCGAAAAATATACCCAAGGCGATACATTGCACAAACAAACAAAAAATAAATTTCTAGGACATCACTTAAAAATTCCTTTGAACGGGACCAAAATGCCCTGCAACCTGCCTTCATACTAATACTCACAGGAAGTCTTGCCTACACTCTAAAACTTCTTGATGATTCTGGTCAGTACATCTTATTTTGGGTTCAAAATACTGAATCTGATGTTATCATATTCATTGCTAAAGACGTGTAGGTTGTTTTCTTTAGAAACAAATGTTTCTTCATCAACGCTTCCCCATTTAGCCATCAAACACTGGGTTAAGAAAATTCCCCACAGAGCTGTGATCGCTATCATCCAAAAGACGTCTGTAAGAAGAGCGTCTGCAACAAACAAACAAATCATAAGGCCACTGACAATTAGCAATAATCACGAAAATGAACACTCTCTCTGTTATACCCTAGTATTTCATTTAACGTTAAAGGGTCACAAACTCATTATAATTTTTACCCCAAAATTAAAGACAAATATCTATTTTAAATAGTACTGTCAAACGATTAATCGCAATTAATCGCATCCAAAATAAAAGCTTTTGTTTACATAATATTATGTGTGTGTACTGTGTATATTTATTATGTATATATAAATTCACTCACGTATATATTTAAGAAAAATATGTTACGTTTATATATTAAATATATTTATATATGATATAAATTATATGAATATAAATATATACATGTAAATATTTTCAAAATATATCCTGTATGTGTGTGTATTTATATATACATAATAAATATACACAGTACACACACATAATATTATGTAAACAAAAACTTTTATTTTGGATGCGATTAATCGCGATTAATCGTTTGACAGTACTACTTTTAAAGTCATACATTTTTTGCATTTTTTAAAAATGCAATAGTCCTAAAACAGACTATCTTTGTAATTTATATGATCAACTTTGTGAGATTCACCATAAGATACTTTGGAAAGGAAAAAAAGGAAGGAAACTACAAATAACTTGACTCACCGCATTTTGAAGTAGTACGCACCAACAAGTAAAATTAGTACAATGACAATAAAGCCAATTACGATGGCAGCAACACTTCCTAGAAAGGAATAAGAAAAAGATATAGTTTGATGAATCATACATGACATATACAGAAGTCAGTCATGAAAGCTATTTCAGGTATATTACTAGTAAAATTACTTGCTTGTATGCAATACAAAATATCATATATACAGTATACTGAAAAGGCAAATCAAACTGCAGCTGAGTGAAAAAGTTTTTCTTTTCACATACAGTGGCCCAAAAATGTATAAGACATGCTTAAAGATGTCAACAGCATTAACAAAATATCAAACAAGGTGTAATTAATTTTGAAGAAAAGATAACACAAACATTTCAGCTCACAAAAAGTTCACAAAAAGAAATCTGTCGGATTTGAAATGATAAAACAATTGATATAGGCTAGTGTTCAAAATGAAGACAAAATTATTGTTCCACTTTGTGGTTGCCACATGCTAGTGAATTATGTCCATGTGATTCTCTACACCTGTGGTTCCTCACGTGTGTGAACTTGAGGAGAAATTACTTCACACATCCACTGAAAATCACTGGCACTGCAACACCATTTAACTAAACTAAGCAAAAATTAGTTCTGAGAAAAGCTCTAACATATTGTTTGCAGATGACAGTTGTTATTCAGTGCTAAGACATTCAGACATGTCCAGATGGCACTATCACTTTCGGGCATAGCTTTTCCGGTAAGTTCTCATTCAAATTCTAATACATCCCAGACAGTGACACTTAGCTGTCATTGAACATAAGTCATCAACGCAGTACAAAGTGCAAACATCATAGATGCTTATGAAAAAGGTGAGGAACAATTTAACCTTTACAGGAAAAGGCTAGTGAACTGTTAATGGTTCAATCACTCAGTTACTGTATTAAATATTAACTTCAGACACTCCTAAAGTGTTTGGGAATCAGTGCTTTGGATGTGTACAAAATAACAAATCCAGTTGTTGAAAACACTAACCTGTTGTAACCCATCTCTGACCTTGATCGAAACCCAAGAACTTTGCATTTGACAATACAGTTTTATTACAGGCTTAACAAATAACAGGGTTGTACTTTTATGATTTTCAGCTAATGAATTTCATGCTAGACATTTCATCCTAAATCTATTTTAGGGACGCATTTCAGCTTAAAGCTATGTAGGGCTGCACGATTAATCGCATGCGATTGTCATGCGCATCTCGTCAGTAAAGCCGGTTCTGTTATTAGTAGTAAATCGCCATCACCTGCGTTCAGATGGAGCGGCATTTAATACACAGAGCCGTAGATCACTGACAAGCTACGCGATATCGTGTTCATAATTGCAGATGAATCGCCTTCGATTATGAACACGATATTGCGTAGCTTGTCAGTGATCTACGGCTCTGTGTATTAAATGCCGCTCCATCTGAAAGCAGGTGATGGCGATTTACTACTAATCACAGAACCGGATTTACTGACAAGATGCGCATGACATTATCGTGCAGCCCTAAAGCTATGCTTTGGAAAATACTGAAGTGGTTAACCTCAATAAAATAGGTTGTATAAAGTGGCCAAATTTACCAGAACTGACCCTACATAGGCAACAATATATAAAGCCTCATTAGGAAATAAAATACATACACCTTGACCTACTTGAGCTCTGGAGCAGAAGGTCAAATAACAATCAAAAGGTTATGCTTATTTAACCTATATATAAACAGGCCAACAGTCGCATTAAACACACTGTATTAAAATATAATATTCTTTGAAATAAAATGAAATATTTACACACATTTCCAAAAAAAGAGAGAATGCACTCATACCTGAGCTCAGGGCCTCTGGGTCCTTCTTTTCTTGGTCAACAGAATCTGGGGGTTTGGTTGTTACTGGTTTTGTGGTTGTTGCTGCAACTGTTGTTGTTGTTGTTGCTGCTGCTGCTGTTGTTCTTGTTGTTGCTGCTGTTTTTGTTGGTGATGTTAACACTTTAGAAGTAGTGGGCACCGTTTTAGTCGTAGAGATGATCGTTGTAGTTGTGCTTTTGGCAGTAGTAATAACAACCGGTTTTGTGCTTCCCAGAGTTGTCTTCTCTGAGGTACGGCTCTCTGAGGAGGATGTTTTCAGAGTTTCAGTCACCAAACCCGACGTGACTGTGGTCGACGCGTTGGCTGCGCTGGTGGGCTCCGTCGCTGGAGAGGTAGCGTTATAGTCAGAGGTTGTATTTGATGTTGTCTGGGCAGGTGTGGAGCTGTTCCTAGTGCTCATGCTCACATTTTGTGGGGACTCAGTTGCTGTTTCATTTGTATTGTGGATCGTGGAGACAGATTCAGTCGTTGGTTGTGTCTGAGTGGAATCTGCTGATGTTGTGTGCGTTACATCTGAGGTAAATGTAGTCGCAACTGTAGTAGCTGGTGTTGCAGTGCTCTCTGTGCTGCCTCCAAATATAATCCAACCTGTCACACACACAAAAACAAGCCACAAGAAGTCTATATTAACTCGCGCACAATATATTGATAGGCTAGTGAATGCATTTTTGAACTAGTGTTAACAAAACACACCTGCGGCATAAAACTGAAGCTGTTTCTTAAAACAGGAAACGCTTTTGTAAAGTACCTTAATGTTTTGTAGTTACACGTTAGTTCATTCATTTGTAGCTTTTACCTTTATTACGCTTTACAAACACTAAAGTAACACGTATTCATGAGTTACACATACTGTACATGGTCGTCAAAGGATTTTAGTCGCACAAGAGTTTTGAATTAATTGTTAGTGTACTTTTTAATATTACACATTATTTACACGTCACATATAAATATAACTACAACTGCAGAAGCAGTGTAATTTAAATGTAAAGGCCTATTAAACAATTTGGATGGATATGAGCAGGTTTATTGTTCATAACATAAATAATAAGCAGCTATAACAGAAAATACATAGGCCTGAATTTGTCTAAGAACCATTTTTAACATACCTGCTAATATCACCAGCGTTGAAAAGTGCATCTTCATTTTCCTTCCTCTTTCTGCTTGTAGAATAATAAGCAGCTATAACAGAAAATACATAGGCTTGAATTTGTGTCTAAGAACCATTTTTAACATACCTGCTAATATCACCAGCGTTGAAAAGTGCATCTTCATTTTCCTTCCTCTTTCTGCTTGTAGCGACTGTTGAACAGTTTCTCTATCGCACTGTAACACATGTGAGCGACGAGAAGGAAATTCACACGCGCAGGTCGAGAGCACGCCTCCGGTCCACTGTGACCTCATAATAAGATGAGCTAATACAGAGACGGCAAATATGCTTTCTAGGCAGATTGTGTTATTAAAATAAACAAATGTTGGCAGGGGACTAAATATAAACATTAACGAAGTATATAATATGTAAACGTAAGAGACTATGTGTAAAGGGTGTTATGACTAAAACTAACCACTAGGTGGAAGCAAATCTAAGGTAATGCACCGCTTTCTAGGCAGATTGTGTTATTAAAATAAACAAATATTGGCAGGGGACTAAATATAAACATTAACGAAGTATAATATGTAAACGTAAGAGACTATGTGTAAAGGGTGTTATGACTAAAACTAACCACTAGGTGGAAGCAAATCTAAGGTAATGCACCGAAGTGAGAATTCAGAGAAACATTCTGTTAAAGGGATAGTTCACCCAAAAATGAAAATTTGATGTTTATCTGCTTACCCCCAGGGCATCCCAGATGTAGGTGACTTTGTTTCTTCAGTAGAACACAAACGAAGATTTTTAAGTCAAACCGTTGCAGTCAGTCAGCCTTATAATGGAAGTGAATGGGAATCACGGCTTCGAGAGTAAAAAAAAAAAACATACACAAACAAAACCCAATTAAACCCTGCGGCTCGTGACGATACATTGATGTGTAAAGACACAAAACGATTATTAGAGGTAAAAAATGATATAAATACTGTTCGGTTTCTCGCACAAACCGATCGTTTCGTGTCTTAGGACATCAATGTGTCGTCACGAGCCGCAGGGTTTAATCTGGATTTGTCTGCGCATGTTTTTTTTACTCTCATAGATTTTGTTACCAGTGCCATGCATTATATGACTGACAGACAGCAACGGTTAAAGTTAAAAATCATCATATGTGTTCTACTGAAGAAACAAAGTCACCTACATCTTGGATGCCCTGGGGTAAGCAGATAAACATCACATTTTCATTTTTGGGTGAACTATCCCTTTAACAGAATGAATTGTATTAATACGAAGATCTGAAATGACAGGTGGAAAACAAAATCATGGATAAATACAACAGAGAGGCAGAAAAATTACAGCCTATTTGTGTAGTAGGCTAATTTCAGAGTAAATTATCATAGTTCTTAAATGGAAATGTTTTTTTTCTCTCTCAATAAAGCCTAACATTAGACTAGCCTATATCATTGAAACTGTCATAAGAATGTTAAAGGTGTCGGATATTAATATCAATCACTGGGTATAATTATAACATTGTGATTATTGTTAATTGTCAGGATTAGGCACAATTGCAGGCTAAAACGAGATGCGGTCTTCTTGTCGTACCATCATTACATATGCTGAGACTACTTAGTCAGGTTTATCGTCATTCCAAACCACATTCCATGATGATCTGTCAAAATGTGTCACAATATGTGTAGAGAGTCATATAGGTGGAGCACAGTAAGAACAAAGGCCGTGTTGACTTTGTTTTGCAACTCACAAATGCATTATGAACATAATTGTACAAAACAGCAAGAAAGTAACCTGCTGAAAGACCAGCATGAGGTGGTTTGCTGGTATAAGTTGGAAAATATGTTTCTTCTGCTCTTGGCCTTCAGCTTAATCAGTTTAGCGCCGGTTGGCTAGGCTGGGTAACCAGATAAACTATCTTAGACAAGCCAGGAACAACAAACCAACTTAGACTGGTTTAAGCCAGTATTTTGGGCAGGGAAAGAAGTGCATTTAGGCTATTCTGTCAACAGATAAGTCGTTAACTGTGGTGAAACAGGAAGGAATAATAGAACAGTCTAAACGGAAAGCAGTACCTTCTTTCATGCTTTAGAGGCGTGTTCAGGGAACGGCTGTAGTTTCAGAGTGACTGTTACTGTATGTCAGGATGTCATTTCAAACATGCTTTCGTGGTTTCGAGTGCACATTTCCGTCTCCAAAATGATGCAACAACCTGTACAGAAAATGACCGTGCTAGAACATTCAGAATGCTACACTTAAAGCATTCTAGAGCAGTCTTATTTTTCTCAGCAGTCTCATTACTCTAATCATTTTTTATTAATATTTGGAATTAGTTTGAGCTTGTTGTGTTTTTGTCCCCCCCCCCTTAAATATGTCTATATAGTTTTTATATAATTAATATATATTAGTGCTGTCAAACGATTAATCGCGATTAATCGCATCCAAAATAAAAGTTTTTGTTTACATAATATATGTGTGTGTACTGTGTATATTTACAATGTATATAAATACACACACACATCGTTTGACAGCACTAATTATTAACACATTGAATTAAATGTGATAAATAAAGACTGAAATAGTATTTTCTTGTATAAACATTCTGCAATAATCTTTTAATAATAGTTTTATTTGCTACTTTGATTTTTATGCTACATCAAGTTTAACTAAATGATAATGAGACAATGATTTAAATAAATTATAATGAGTCATATCACTAAACTTTTTAGATAACAGAAATTCAGAAGACTAAAAGAAAAGGGATTTAAAAAAAGATCAAAGAGATTAAAAATAACCCAAAGAACCCAACCTAACAGTTATTTCAATTGGTTGTTTAAACTTAACTAATATAATATCTATATAGTATTTTTTCCCCTTTCCTTTTCATTTCCTTTTTATTATTAAAAATGTACAAAATGTTCAAAACAATAACATATCATAATAATTAAAACTATAGTTTCCCTCAAATTAAAAATAAAGGTTCTATGTGTTAAAATAAATGACATAAATGAGAAAGTGAAATCAACAATAAAAGGAAAAAAAATCACAAAAATATGGAGGACCAAATTACTCAAAATCAAATAATTAAATAAATGTTGAAATATGTAAATAAATTGTTAAATACATAATTAAATACATATTTAAATAATTAAATACATAAATGCATTATAAATAAATAAATAAATCATTCATTTATTCATTCATTTATTTCCTTCACATTTCATTTTCAGGATTACGGTTGTCAGCACGTAACCCTGAAAATAAAATTAAATAAAAATACAAAAACAAATAAATAAATAAATGATTGAAAGAATGAATGGATATTTATTTATTTATGCATTTGTGTATTTAGTTATTTAATTATGTATTTAACGATTTATTTATATATTTCAGCATTTATTTAATGATTTAATTTTGAATAATTTGGCCCTCCATACACAAATATATATTGGGTCTTGTTTATTTTAAAAAGTTGAGTAGAAGAAAAAAAAAACACCATATAAAAACAGTAGGCTATATAAAATGAAATTGAAAGCATATTCCAATTAAACTTTCAAATAGTACTTTATGAACAAATGATCACCATCAGCACCAGAGTCTCTCCTGAATCTTTCGTGCCGCGCGTGATGTAACACTCAGTGGGCGGGGCTCCACAGGTGCGCCTAGGACAGGTTGTCGAAACCTGGAGCGGTTTTGATGTTGACAAGCGCAGACAGTCACGTGACGTTCAACAATAGCCAGATTTTACGGGATCCTCCCACGAGAAGTTTCTGCCGCCCAGCTACTTTTTAAACAACCGGAAACAAATCCATCCATTGCCAGCAAGGCTATTTTTGTGACCCGAATCCATCATCATGCGAACTCCAGGGATTTTTATTTTTGGGATGGTGCTCGCGCCTTGCGGCTGGATCCTGGAGCTGACCAGCACCGTGGCACCAGCCTGGCGCACGATCAACAACATCCCGGGGGAACCCAGCGACGTGGTCATCCAGCAAGGATTATGGGACATCTGCAGGACTTTCACATCGTCCCGGGATATTCTGTGCAACCAGCAGGACACGCGGTACTTCAGCGCCCAGATCATCCAGATCGCCAGAGGTCTGATGCTGTCGTCGCTCATTCTCAATGTCATTGCCATCGGCGTGGCATCAGTTGGAGTGCGATGCTGGACTGAGAAACCGCTCTGGACGGTCGCTGGGGTCGGAGGTCTCCTCATCTTCATCTCAGGGGTCCTCACCATCATCCCAGTGGCGTGGTACACTCACACCTTGACCTCCATCTTCTCCGCATCCACCGATGTTCGTGTGGGATACTGCCTGGTGCTGGGCTTCATCGGCGGGATCATGGAGGTCCTCGGTGGGCTGGTGATGTCCATCGGTTTGTGCTGGCGCTGCAGCGGTCAGAAGCGCGATCCCTCTCCACCGCGCAGAGACACGGTGCCCAGCGTCAGCAGCGGCAGCAGCGTCCCGTATTACTCCAAACAAAGCGAGATGGACTTCGCACGGGCCAAGAGACAACAGGACAGCAGACCAGCGACTAGCACTGCTTATGAAGCACGACCTTACGACACAGATTTGTGAAAGAACGCACTTTTGATCTTGTGAACAAACTGCACGCAAGAAACCTTACGAAAATCACCATGATAACCGTCGCTTACCGCGTAAAAACCGCGATTGTCGATCAGATGAAATCAGCTAGTTTCTCTTTTTAATGGCCGTTCTGTTTAGTGGTTATCCCTATTAGATTTATTAAGACATTTTTAACCTCTTAACTGTCACCTGTCCCCTCAGAGGAAGCCTAAGTTTACTTCACTATATTACAATTAAATCCTAATCATGACAAACTATAGCCTATATCGTTGGAAAAGTCTCCGAAATAGATATTTTACCAGTTTTTTGTTACAAATTATGTAGGAACGGTAATAGATTAATTTATGACAAGAGTGCTCCTCAAAAATCTACATCATGACAGGAGTTTTGACCTTTGTCACCAAAAGTATTTTTTTTTTCTTATCATCATCATAAATTAGATATCAATTGAAAGCGTAAAACCTCAAAATTCATCATGTGAAAACCATTTTAACCATTCTGACATTGCTTTACCAAGGAAAGCCATATTAAAAATGCATTCATTCATAAATTATAAGCTTGGATAGTGCACTTTCACACCCATATTCAAAAATGGGGGTGACAGTTAAGAGGTTAATGTAAAATATTTTGGAAAATATGTATTTTGTACACTGTAAATCTTAATTT